TCATCAATTAATTGACGATGAATAGGATCATGAATTTGTGTAATTATTGTAACAAGAAATACACTTGAAATAATCAACTTTGCTAATTGTTTGCTTCTTTTTTTATTAAAGCTAGTATAATGAATAACACTAATCATTCTTTCAACTGCTACACATGCATTGAGCCATTCACTTGATGCTAACAAAACTTTGAGAACAAAATCTATTGAAATACAATTAAAAGTAAGTAATGATCGATTATTTATCAAAGACATCTGTGAAAGTATAAGTTGCCAAAATTTAATAGTTAATACAATAATCATAAATATTGATGTAATTGATGAAACTAAAAGATAATATCCACTACCAACTTGTCTTGGTTTTACTCTATGAAATACTAGAATTGATAAAAGACCACTAATCAAACCTAAAATAAACATTATTGTACTTATAATAATACTTATTTTAATAATTAATGGTTGATGAATAAGTGAAACATTTGGTTTTACATGATAACTAAGAATTGGATCAAGTGAAAAAAGAAAACCTTTAGTTGAAAATTGACATTTAGCACCATAATAACAATCTTGACATACACATGTTGATTTTGTTGGACATGTTTCATTATTTTGAAAACATTGACCATCATTTTCACAATAATTATAACCTTGACAATCATAATTCATTGTATGATTAAAGAAAAAACAATTAGAAAATCGATCAATATCACATATACATAGAAGATCATTATCATAAAAACATCTCATTTGTAAATATTGTCGACATAAAAGTGGATAATATTTAGTTCGATGAAGATATCCAGAGTTTCTCAATGTATTATTAAGAAGTTCATCAATAGAGAAACAACGTTGACGTAATTTGATTTTAGTATAAATATTTTCTGAAGGTATAAACATTTCTCGAAGTATTCCTAAGTAATAGTATTGATTTGGTATTTGAAGAAAAAGAATGTTAAATGGTTGTGATACATATAGTCTTAGAATATTTTGATTATAAGAAATCTGTTTCATAAGAGTTGTTCGTTGATGTTCGGCATTTCTAATTGCTGTAATTAAATGTATAAATAGAAACGACGTTTGTTCTATTATTCTATCAGGTAAATGTATATCAATTTGATTATTTGTATTTTCACATCTTGCACCTGAATAATCTTGTGAACAAAAACAAGTAAATCCTGTTAAATCAATACGATCATCATTTGGTACACAAAGTCCACTGTGTTTACATGGATTATGTGATAATTGACATATTGAATGTTTTAAATAACAATGAGTACCAAATTTATATAATGGACATACACATATAAATGGAGCAAGACAATATGAATCACTTGAACAATTACATTCATATGACATTTCACATCGAGTACCATAATAACCTTGATTACATTGACAATAAAATAAGGATTTATTATTTATGTATTGCATACATTTTCCATGTTTTCCACATGAAAGAGAACATGATGTTGTTTGTTGTATATCCGGAATGAGTAATTGGCTAACGATTCGATTAACAGGTAAAAATAGAAAAGATATTGGTAAATACCAACTAGACCAATAGTTTAAGTTTGTTTTTTCGAAAAGATCAATACGAATTGAATAGTTATGAGAAAGATTTTTTGGTCGATTTGGATAAAGTAAATAGATGTTAAATTTTGTATCACAATCACGAGAAGGCATATATGTTATTTGTTCAAAATTAGGTGCAATTTGTCCATTTTCATCAATAAGCATGATAATTGCTTGAAATATAACAGTAATAGATGCAGTACTACGCCAAAGAAATTGAAGAGTTAAACTAATACGTTGATTTTGCCATTGACACTGAGAACCAAAATAATTAGGTGGACAAAGACATATTTTCGTTTGATTGATACTATGTAATACGGCAATACCACGATGACAATAGGAAATGAAATTAGGATCAGTCTTTGGAATGAGTCTTTTTTCTTGATTATGTTTAGAAATGTTTGGAATAGAATGATTAGTGTTTATTGGTGGAAAGTCACCAAATCGTATGGCTGTTAAAAATAGATCAGAAAAAATATAGGAACGTCCTCTGGATTTAAGATCGCATAAGTATTCAGTATTTTCAAGAACGTGAACAGCTATTCTACACATCGAATTCGGTTGGATGCACGCATGAAGACATACATCTGGCTGTGCTTTTGATATTGATGAAAAATTAGAATTGCGACAAATTTCGTTTGTAGTGACACATTTCGTATTGTTCCATGACAAATAATCATTATTTATGTTCTGTGTTCCATTGTAAAAGTAGATTTGTCGAGTAGCTAATGGATCGCTACAATTTTCGATATATTTATCAAAGATATGATTAAGAGGTAAACAATAGGATAATCCAAGCAATATGTTTTCACATTCATGTTCATTCAAAGAACATGGTGTGTTAGGACAATTTAATTCATCAATACCATTTGAACAATGTGGAAATTTGTCACAACGAGTATATGGATTATTGCATGGCCACCATTCACAATTGGTTTCGTCGGTTTCAGTGACATCCAATTGAGAAGTTTTAGAGTCATCTGCGCCATTGCATAAAACTGGAAATGGCATTAATTTGACTAAACTAGATGTATATGCATATAATTCATCTTCTCCTTGAGGACAATCGGACAGTCCATTACCAACTGCAACAGGTAATAGACATTGATTTGGATTCGATTCACAAGTAAATCGATTTGAATCGTTCAAATGGCATGCATTAAATGATTCGTCTTCTGAATGAAAACAGTCGGCTATTCCATCTCCAACACGATTATATGGAATACATTTCAAGGATTGATTACAATGAAAATAAGACGAATTAGCGCATGATGTCTCTATATCTCTTGTCCAGCAATTTCGAATGATGCCTGGAAAAGTCGATATTAATCGATCAAAGTCCAAAAATTCGACATGATTTATCAGATTAGAAATATTGCAGCATGTAAGACCATGAATTATATTAATGGGAGTTATAGTAGCTAATAAAGCAGGACACTTTTGCGCATCAAAACATATAAAATCAGGTAGAGCACTTTTCTTAAATTCATCAATCGATCGATTAGTCAAATAGACAAATTGAATAAATCCAAACATCATAGGATGTTCAGGCATGACTATCCATTCCATTGAACAATATTTAGATAAAGGTTCACACTCTTTATTCGAAACATGGTTAATAATTGATTGACGTGGCATTATGTCCACAGGAAGGAATGGCCCTGAAATATTTAAGAATAACTAAAAAAATAGGACGATAGAACAAATTGACACATTTTAAAATAGAATATAAATGAGTAGTTGTTAAATAAATGAAGAGACATTGAGTCAAACGTTTCGATATTTTATAAGAAGTTTTCGTATATTTATTTATTGAACTATGTGAAAAGTGAAGAAATTTAGGAGGATTAAAAAGATGAGGTTTTGACTATCTGACGCCTTTTAAACGATGATCATAGTTGAAGAAAACTGTACAATATACATATGTTAATTTGTTTTTTAACCAAATCTTCTATAAATTTTTACTCCCAAATATCAATCGATTATTTCAGAAAGTTAAGAAAATATTCTTGCTTCTTCTTTTTTTTACTTTTAAAGTACTTTTTTCTAAAAGCGATGTACACACTGCGTGTCAGTGTTATTTCAGACCTCGACATAGAACACAATAACTCGTAGAAGACCGTAAAACGGTTCGACGACATTGAAAAACAACTTTTGTGTCGATGATCATGTACCATACAGCATAAAACAGAGACATATAATGATAAATAACATCTGTTACGATGTTATTTATGTTTCAGCGAAAGTTGGCTGCATTCAAACCACTAGTTTTACTCTGTTTTTACATGAAGTTCGAAAATGGATCTCTTCTAATGATGTTTAATCGATAAATCTTAATAATCTTATTTATCATCTTTAGCTGAATCCATTTCGTATGTTTTATGGACATATTTTGCTAAGATGGAACTGCGCTTTACTCGTGTTACTTCTTAAATTTTGATTATTTTTGATTAATATGGAGTCGAATTAACTTATTTCGAGCTGGTGTTAGCATTGATAGTTAAAGTTTGTTGATATCTATTCGATGATATGACATGCGCTCTACAATAACAACTTTGTCTTGTTACGCAATATCATGCATCTACTATACATAGAGTTTGTCACGATAAAACTGTACTCAAAAATATTATTATTTATATCATGGGATGCTTCACATATTAATAGAAAGTATATGCAGGATGCTACCTGTGCATAATTCAAGTTATGAAGATAAATCAAAGAGAAGAAAAGCAATTAAGAAGCTTTGCTCTCTAATGCATAATCATAGTCTCGGAACTCCAAAATTTTAGTTAATCGAATGAAGAAAGCTATGATTCGGTAGCGTTTCATGATTAATGCTATTTCCAAAACTAGTAACTTTCGTCCATGTTTAATGATAAGTTGATGTAACTGGAAAACAGTGAACTTCATGAGTTCATTGTCCTAAACATATTTCTTAGGATGCGGACTACTAACATTTTTTAAAGCAGCAAAACTATCTTCTTCTTCGTATAGCTCACGTTTGCTATATCATCGCACTTAATTTTCCCTGAAGTTATAGAATTTTCAACTATCAGTAGTCTACCTCATACTTAATCATATACTAGTGAAATTCATTTTTAATATGTCTTGAATTGCTATAAAATCTCTTCAATTTATTATCTGCAAGTACAGACCTATTTACTTAAAAAAAAACAAGAATATTTTTATGATTCCGGCTTTTTTTACCGCATTCTTACCTGTATCTTGTGTTCGATTCGAATAAAGAGCACAATAAAATGCTTCTCGACAATTGATGTTTGAGATATAATCGAATGAAGTAAGGATGGCTCGAGATAATGCCAGATCTCGCTTATTCGAACACATAGTTATGGAACTAGGTACTGCAAAGAAAAGCGAGTATTGACCATCACCACATTGAAAAGACATAGGATATCGACCTATACGTTCCTGACAGCGAAATGTCTGAACATTCGTACAATATGTATTGATTAATACAGAATAAGCCGTAATATGATCTTGCTCATCACTACCATCAAGACAATCAATACTAAGTCTGCTATCTTTAGCAAAAGCTAGTGGAATACATTGACCACCATAATGACATCGATATTCATTATCAGCACATTTAGTTATTTCTAATTGATCACACCATTGTTCATCTTCTCCACTTATACAATCCATTTTTCCATCACAAATTTCACGCCAATCAAGACATTGAGGCCACAATTTTCCACGACAACTATCTAAAAATCGATAACATGTACCACTAGTCTCATTAGTAACTAACTTTGAGTAATTGCTAAATGTAGCTTCAACTATATCACCGAATGATAATGATAAATCATGTTGAAATTTGTATTGACACATGGAACCAAACCATGGTGATACACATTTATAAAAAATGTCTTCACTATTATTATTTATTTCATATTTCTCTGCAATATCAATAGGTGCAAACCATGTAAGTAATTGTTCACTAGTGATACCTTGCTTCTTCAATTCATCAAAAGTTATTGTTTGTTGTATATTTTTATTGTCAAGAGAAAAAACTTGTTCCTGTTCTTCATTATTATCAGGGCGTCTACAATAAGGAATCAAATGATAATTACGAACGTAAGGTTCACCACTTTCTTTTCCACTTTCAATTAAATAAGCATATAAACAATCAAATGTTAGATATGAA